ACATTGAATCATAAATAACACTTAAACAAAAGGATGGTCAATGATCATGTTTTAAATACAGTAAACATTAAAAAGTTAACGTTCATTACTTGTCAAAAAAGAGATCCAAACATGCATCATCACAAAATCATTTAAAATTTCCCTTCAGGACAAAAACACTTACCACTGATAGAAAATAACCAATAGGAACATAATCCATTTGTATTAAATCATAATTTACTGCACATAACACACAAATGCAGGCATACAGGCTGAGCAAAAAAATTCCAAAATTTTTCAGCATGCCAAATTTAGCTTTTCATTGGCCAAGATTATCAAAAAGTGACTATTGTGGTGTGTTACATGTTAGTGAAATGGTGACTTCTTTTAAACTGTTTAAAGGAGGTCATTGCCCTTGACCTCAATTTTGGAGGTTGGGGTGGATATTTATACTACTTTATAAGAAGAGCAGAATTTCCTGTATAAAGTCATAATAACATTTATTATTTACTAAGTCATTTACTTAGTATCAGACAGACTCATTATTTTCTGTTCCCTTTCCATAACTCCTGCAAGAGAGTTAATTTTAATGCTGTGGAACATTTTTATTATCCTCTTTCTTACCTCCTGCAGTTTGATCCCATATATGATGGGATTTAGAAGAGGAGGAAGCAAGAGGAAATCAATGGAAATAATAACACGAACAACATTAGGAATATTACTCAAGTCAAAACGCTGATAAACAAATTCAAAGGAGGTTATAAGGCTGTAGTTCATGAAGGTCAACAGATGAGGGGTACAGGTCTGCAGAGCTTTAGCTTGAGCTTCTTTTGTAGCTTTCTTGCACACTAGAAGGATTCTGAGGTATGAGTATGAAACCAGAAGAAATGATGACCCAGTAAAAACTGTTGTGACAAACAAACCATAGCCACTGTTCACAGACACATCCACACACGAATGTCTGACAACTGACCAGTTGTCACAATAAACCTTGTGTATGACAGACCCACACAGTGGGAGCCTAATAGTTAAAGATATAAGTGTAGAAAAAATGCAAAGGGACCACATACAAACAAACACAAAAATTTGTGTCACCTTTGGTGGAGTCATGATGCTGTTATATCTCAGTGGATGACATATGGACAGATAGCGGTCATACGCCATTATGGACAAAATTAAATACTCAAATCCTGCATAGGAATGAACACAAAATATTTGAATGTAACAAGCAATCCGAGATATGGATGGAGCGTCTGACAGAAGGTTAGCCAAACATTTCGGATAAAAAGCACAGCCACCATACAATCCATTCACGGCTAGGCTACAAATAAATATATACATGGGTTCATGGAGTTTCCTTTCCCTGACAATTACTGTTATTAGAAGTACATTTCCAAAGATTATCAAAAGAAAAGCTAATAGAGTAGCTGAGAAATACAAATATCTAATATTTCCATTGTTGTCATATGCTGTAAATAAGAATATTGTAACATAGGATGTGTTTTGCATTGTGATTGCCGTCTGTCCGATTCTTCACAACACACCTAGAAATAACAAATATAAAAGTGTAAGAGCAAAGACTTCTCTTAGTAGCAATTACTTCTATCAAACCAATAGCCTTATTACTTTCTCCTTGTAATTTTTTAACACATATGTGCTTTAAGCTAATTTAAAGTAGGTGCATACACATTTTTTATATTTTTGTACTTAGATTTATCTGGTTACTGTTTATTATTCTTAAAGAGACAAATGATCATTCTGTACAATTGTTAGCTTTTTCTGGTAATCTACAGTATATGCCTGTTTGACCGTTGCGGTTCTGCGCGGGCT